TACAGTACAGTTTACAGTACGTACAGTACAGTACAGTACTGTACTGTACAGTACAGTAGATGTTTTTCGCACCCGATTTCGTGATTCCATCCTGACTGGTAAAAGAACTGCTGTACCTCTGGATTGCGGCGCATAACGCCTTCCTCTATATGAGTCACGATGTAAAAGCGTACAGTGCTGTACAGTACAGTACAGTATGATAGCCGAGTACTGTACGGTATAGTTTACAGTACAATGTACTGTACGAGTGTACTGTACATGTACTGCACTGTACAGTACAGTACAGTACAGTACAGTACAGTACAGTACAAGTTCAAATTTGAAGGAGTCTAATGTACTGTACTGTACAGTACAGTATGTACTGTACAGTACAGTATGTACTGTGCTGTACTGTTCTGTGGTCTAGTGTGTACACTGTACAGTACAGTACGGTACAGTCAAAGTACAGTAATGCACTGTACCTTTCGTACAGTACTGTACATAGTACACAGTCACAACTAGACCAGCCTAGTGGACCACTAGATGATATCCTATCTCATATCTCATAGTGTAATTTATTGAACTGTACTATACAGTGCACTGCAAAGAGACTTTTGTAACTCTTCAAGTTCAAGCCCCTGACAGAGAACTGGCCTAGTGTACTATCCACTGTAGTGTACAGTGCAGTGTGTACGCTTTCTTTCTTATTTGCAGCGAAAAAATATTTTTTTACCGTGTCTTGTCTTTACAACCCTCAGATTTTTACAACAGTGGTTTCCTAGTTATTATTGGAAAAAAAGGTTTAAAATAAGATCGAATAAGGAGGAACATTACATTAATTAAAGGAAAAAAATCATCAAAGATTTCCCATCTTCCCCGTCAATGGTTTATAAATAGAAGTGCCGTATTTATCAAAAAATGGATTAACTAAGTTCAATTTTCTTACAGCCGTAAACATACGCTTGACTTCGATGGGTAACTACTGGACAGTTTTGATCGTTATTTTGTCCCTAAAACTTATTTCTTCATCGTTGGTACCCAATACCGGTAGGTTGAACTATGTTAGAAATGATAAGATTATAATTACAGTATATTAAATCTCTGTGACTATGGGCGACAATTTTCTGTTGTAATGACGGGCCATTTTTTCAAGGCTAAATTATTATTTTTTTTTTATTATATAGTTTTCTATCGCGGTTTTCTTGAGAAAAACTATAGTACTGTACA